AAAAAAATTAGTACTTTCAATAAGTTAAATACTTATAATGAAGTAAAATCTGTAATTTTCTCTTTTTTTTTATTGTGTTCGTTAATTTTTCTTTTTACAACAACTTAGTGTCATTATTATTATTATTTGCTTGAAAGTGTGATTATTTTGTTGATGCGTATGCCTTATCGACATTATGAAATAATATAAATCAATTGATTGCAATATTCTAGTGTCCCCTCTTTTTTCCTTCTTTTACTCTTCCTAATTGTAAAAGCAACACTTTTTTTTTTTTTTGCTTGAAGTCAGAACGATTACTCAACTCCCATTTGACAAATTCCATAGAGGGTCCCAAAAAGGAAAAAAAAAAACTCAAATAAATAGGTATACGGTGATATAATGTCCGATGGAGTAATTATTAAATCAAACAATGCATATTACACGGAGATAGATACTATAAAATAATTTTTGAATAGCATCGACACATCTATCATATATGATAGTTAAGATCGATACCCCATAAAAGAATTTTTAAATAGCGTCAACATATTTATAATACATTACGGTTTAACATAAGAAGATTTTAAGTGCTATTACTCTCAAATTATTTAGTGAACTTTTGGTTCATAAATTTAGAATTATTTTCGATTTACGTGTATTTTTATAAGAAAAAATATTATAATGAGCCACGAACCATAATTCAAACTATGACACGAATCTTCATATCAAACACCCTCTTATAAATAGAGATGTGCATATCCCTTTTAAATAATACGTAGCTATTCATTCGTTTCATCGTTTGACTCAACATGCATAACTTTTTTTTTTTAGAATTAAAATGTATGATGTCAAATTAAAAAAAAAAAGAATGATTATGCATCTAAAAACCCCGTTCATTTTACCGACTGAGTTTAGAATTCGAGTTTTGTTACAGTAAAAAACTCTCATAACAGTCACATTTAATTTTTTTTACTACATAAAAAACTATCACATAAAGTCACAGTTCAACTCGAATTAAAAACTTAAATCAGCTAATTGAACGGGCTCAAAATAACTCTATTTTATTCTATTTTATTTTTTATTTATCTTTATTTTCGCTAAATCCTTTAACACTTAGCATCCTTATTACCTGCTTAAAAAAAAAAAAATTCCTTCTCCGCTCAACAATGAATGAACATTCCAAAAACCCTAATACTCGGGATAGAATGCAACCAAAATCATTAATCAAAGCATAAACTCGCTTTTCGGATTTGCCCACATGTACAACACGGATTATTTTCACACCAATTGTGCCAAACATACCCCCATTAAATTATTAAACTCCCTATAATACCCCCAACTATGACACGTGTCGAACAGCCAACAAAATGTTTTTTCATTCAGAGAAATTCCAATGTGTATATATTTACAGGTCACTCCAATGAGCCTTTAAACCCTAGACCCTTCTCTTCTATCTCGCTTCTTCTTCTTCCTCTACAGTTTCTCTCTTTCTCCCAAACGCAGCGGTGCCGAGTAAAGAGGTACGAAAATTAGGGTTTTCAGCACTTTCACTTCAAAGAACAAGCCTCTCTATCTCACTGCATAGATATTTATCACTCTGTTTTTTTTCTTTTCATCAATATTGTGTTTGTTTGTTGGACTTTAATGGTGCAAAGTTGTGAACTAAAAATTTGCAGTTTTTACGATCAGTTCCGTTAAGGGCTTTAGGTTAAAAGAAGAATCAATGGCGAAATATGGATTTTTGGAAAATATTTTGCCGCTTAACTGAGTTTGTGTGTTTCTCTTGGCATTTTGTCATATTGGCTTTCTCTGTTTTTCCTTTTTTTCATATTTGTGTTTGGCTTTTATGGGTTTTATATATGTTTGAAGCGGTAAATTAAGCGTCTTGTGAAATATGAGTTGGGGTTTAAGTGATTGATTTTGGGTCTATCTATTTTTGTAGGTGTGTTTTGAGGAGCGGAAAAATGCTTCTTTTGTTTGAGACTCCGGCGGGTTTCGCCCTATTTAAAGTTTTGGATGAAGGGAAGCTCTCCAAAGTCGAGGTAATTGTCTTCGTTAAACTTCGTTTTAAGTTTTGTTACGACCAATGGGAAAGAAAAGGTACAAGTTTGACTAAGTGGAGATTGTTGTTGTTCTCTCTTTTTCTCAAATCTTGTTTTTTTCGTTTTTCTGCCTGAAATAATTAAGGGTTATTCGTACTATTTTCTGGGTGAAAGATTTTTCATATATTGGCTCTAAGATTTTTCACTTGATTTGTGCTGCAGGACTTGTGGAGAGAGTTCTCTACTGCAGACTCTGCGAGACAGGTAAACTCTCTCTCTTTCTCTCTCTCTCTCTCTCTCTCTCTCCTGTCTTTTAGACAAGAAAAAATATATAGGAAATGTAACACAGAGAGTTGTTTTTGTGAGAAATGGTGCTGAAACTGCTATGTGACTATGGAATCTCCTAATTTTGTTTTAGTTTTGCTTTGTTGTTCCTTGTACTTTCTTTATTCTATATCGTTAACTTTCTTTTTTTTTTTGTAATTTCTTCTAACTATAATTGCTTTTTGAAACCGACATTAGGTGGTTAAGCTGAAAGCTTTTTCCAAGTTTGAGAATACATCCGAAGCTTTGGAAGCAGTGACCTTGTTGATTGACAGTAAGCCCAGTAAAGGTCTTCGCAAGTTCTTGCGTGCTCACTGTGATGGCGAAACATTGGCTGTGGCAGATTCAAAGCTTGGAAACATCATCAAGGAGAAATTGGTCTGCTAATAATTTTACCAATAGAAACTATTTTTAATTTATGTACTGGTTGTGGAAGTTTCTGGTGAACGAAATTGGTCTGTTATGACTCATTGAATGGGTTTATTTTCATCTATTTAAGTGAAACTATTTGATGTCCTCAGCAAGTAGAATGTGTCCACAACAATGCTGTTATGGAGTTGATGAGAGGTGTGAGAAATCAGTTGACGGAACTTATATCTGGACTAGCAGTTCAAGACTTGGCACCAATGAGTTTGGGTTTATCTCACAGTCTTTCTAGATACAAACTGAAATTCAGTGCTGATAAGGTGTGTTTTATTGATATGCTCTGAATTGGTCCATGATCATAATATATAATCTCCAGGCAAGCCTAATGTCTTAACTTGATTTACAGGTTGATACCATGATCATTCAAGCCATTGGTCTGCTCGACGATCTTGATAAAGAGCTGAATACATATGCTATGAGAGTTCGAGAATGGTATGGTTGGCACTTTCCAGAACTTGCCAAGATTGTGCAGGATAACATCCTTTATGCCAAGACAGTGAAGCTGATGGGCGACCGTGTTAATGCTGCTAAGCTTGATTTCTCTGAGGTAGAGTTGGTGATTCATTTTTTGTTTTAGATTACTGACCATGCTAATACTAATTGACCTGTGACGTATAACATTTTCTTCCTCAAAATCCATGCAGATATTGCCAGAGGAAGTTGAGGCAGAATTGAAAGAAGCTGCTATGATATCCATGGGAACTGAAGTCAGCGACCTTGATTTGACTAACATCAAAGAACTCTGTGATCAGGTCCTCCATCTTTCCGCCTACAGAGCTCAGCTTTATGATTATTTGAAGAGCAGGATGAACAGCATTGCTCCAAATTTGACTGCTCTTGTTGGTGAACTTGTTGGTGCCCGCCTTATTGCCCATGGGGGTAGCTTGTTGAACCTTGCAAAGCAGCCTGGCAGCACAGTCCAGATTCTTGGTGCTGAAAAGGCACTGTTCAGAGCATTGAAGACTAAGCATGCCACTCCCAAATATGGGCTTATCTACCATGCATCATTGATTGGTCAGGCGGCACCGAAACTCAAGGGAAAAATTTCACGGTCTCTTGCTGCCAAAGCTGCATTGGCAATTCGATACGATGCTCTTGGTGACAACCAAGACAATTCTATGGGGCTGGAGAACCGAGCCAAGGTATTAGCGTAGTGTTTTGCCCATTGATGTCATGTTTTACATTTTAATTGAAATTAATATGTCTGTTTATTTCCATAGCTTGAGGCCCGGTTAAGGAATCTCGAGGGCAAAGAATTGGGTCGTTCTGCTGGCTCAGCTAAAGGCAAACCTAAGATAGAAGTCTATGACAAGGACAAAAAGAAGGGAGCTGGGGCATTAATAACTCCTGCGAAGGCAAGATAGTTTGTTCTCTTGATGCTTTACTTAGTTTTGCTTCTTTGTTTCTGTTGATTGTAATGTAATTTTCTTTATGTTCCACGCAGACTTACAACCCTGCAGCGGATTTGATTCTTGGACAATTAACAAATGATAACCTAGATGAAAAGGTTTCAAAGAAGAAGGCTGAGGAAGCCGCTGAGAAGGCTCCTGTTGAGGACAAAAAGGAGAAGAAGAAAAAGAAGAAAAAGAAGGAAGCCGATGACACAGCTATGCCAGATAATGGAAATGCAGATGATGAGGAGCCTGCGAAAAAAGAGAAAAAGAAAAAGAAGAAACACTCAGCTGAGGATGTTGAGGTGCAGAATGATGGCGAAAATGGCGACGCGGGAGAAAAGAAAAAAAAGAAGAGAAAACATGCTGAAGAAGAAGAATCTGAGACTCCCAGCAAGAAGAAAGAGAAGAAGAAGAAGAAAAGTGAGGATTGAGTAAGTAGTAGAAAGTTGTAATTGCTATCAACCCAAAAAATTTTGATTAGTTTAAGCGACAAGTTTAATTTTCTTTATGTAAAATTTGGTTCTTGGTTTCCATCGCTGTTCTGGTCTTTTGAGCTTATCTCTTATGTAATCGTTTAGTATTTATTTATGGACACAGTTGCTGGAAGTTGGTTAAGAAGACATACAATTGCTCTGCAGTCATCTATGTGCTGCTGCATATTCTTTTCACCTTCCTAATCCTTTTTCACTCTTAGGGTGCTTTTTTTTTTTTTTAAACAAAACATAATAGGTGCGTTTGAAACTCGTTTCAAAATGATTTTATTTTTTATATGAAAATAAAAACGTTTTTAAAAATGTGTTTGGTAGTTTTATTAAGAGATTATTTTCAGTATAAATTTTTTTATTAATGTCTCTCTTTTTCTCTGTTTGAGAGAGAAGAAGAAAATAAAAATAAAAATAAAAAATAATTAAAAGTCGTTTTTCATTTCTCGTATTTTACATTAAATTAAAAAATTATTTTTATTTTTAATTTTTATCTTTAATGCATCAAACTCGTTTTAAAAAAAAAAAAAATTTTTCTCAAAAGACATATTTTTAATTTTTATCTTTAATGCATCAAACTCGTTTTAAAAAAAAAAAAAAATTTTCTCAAAAGACATAAAAAAATATATAATTAATTCTAAACACGGTTTTCATAATTCTTATCTCCTCGTTTCTGAGTTTTGCAATTTTACCTTTTTGTGATTCATTTCATTGTATCCATTGATTCCCAATTGTTATCTTCTTTTTACACCCCCATTTTCTTTTTTAACTTCCTTTTTTTAAAGGTTAGTTGCATCAGAATTCAGATTCCATTATTTGATCTTATTGGTTCCATAGCCAACTCGTCAACCAAAAGACAAAAACAAAAAAAGAAGCAATTTTCGTATAATTATTTGTCTGCATCTTGGTGCCTGGCTATGACCTTGACCTGTAAGGTTGTCCTTTTATGTTTCTTACTGATGTTAATCATCCATGAAAAAAAAAAAAAAAAAAAGTCTCCAAAGTTGCATAAACTATAATTTTTTCCAACAACAAGTCAAAGGATACAAACGGAGCTGCCAACTTCAAGCAATTGTTTCATCAGTCTTTCCTTTTCAGCTGCCTACTGTTTTAGGACATGTCGTTTTTGTTTTAAGGACATGTCTCGATCTAGACCAGTTTTCTTCGGAGTTAAAAAATGTCTCGATACAAAACTAAGAAAATTCTCATTGTGTGTATCCATAACAAAAAAAATGTCGTCTCTTTTTCATTCAAATATAGAAATAAAAATACAATACGATGTGTCGTTTCTGGAATAGCCAAGTTACACTTCGATTAGTTTCATCCGAGTAGACGTGATTAGTTTCATCCGAGTGGACGTTGAAATAAAGGGTTTTCGTATGTGCCAAACAGGACATAAATGATAGCTGACCATACTGGTAATGATACAGGAGACTAGTGCTGAAAGAACGGGCGGCGGGCCTGCCCAAAGCCCAGAAATTTTCGGGCTCGGCGGGTAGGGCCCTAAGTCTGCCCGTCTAAGTTCTAGGCCGGGCTCGGACCCAAAAATGAAGCAAAAAAACAATCCGGCCGCCATGAAAAACTCATTGCCCGAAGCCCGCCTGAAATTTTTTTAATAGTATTTTGTTTTAATAGTGTGTGTTAATTTTAATTTTAATTTTTATATAATTTTTACAATAAATAACTTAATAATTATTTATATACAAATACAATTAATAAACAATATTATATATAATATATATACACAATATTATTAAAAATAAAACAAAATATAAAAAAATATATTAAATATTTGGGCAGCCTGGGCGGACTCGGGCTGCCCGACCGGGTTTCGGGCAGCCAAGACCTGCCCGAAGCCCGTTCAAGGTGGAGATCGGACTTGGACGGGCGAGCTCAGGCAACGAGTACAAGTTCAATTTTTTTAAACGGTCGCGGATGGCTCATCCAAAGTTCTAACACTACGGGGGACGTGGTTTTTATTGTCTAAACGACAGCAAAATCTAGAATAGGAATGCCATTGCGGATGTGGCTTATGCAAAGAAAATGGCATAAAAAAATTATAAATAAAAAACAAAATCTAGTTTTAGAGAAGAAACGACGGTGACTTTTATAGTACAAACGCCAAGTCTTTATTCTGACGTAAACAGCGACGTCATCTTAAAACAAAACGACCTGTCCTTACAAGTAGACGACGGCAACCATGTACAACAAACTACTTGTCGTTAATTTTGTGAACGACATTAAACTTTTTACGCGAAGAAACAATTGTAATCATGTTACTTGATGTTCTTTTCCTTCATAAAGTTAAAAAAATAAATAAAATCGCATCCTTTTTGCGGAAGAATTTCATGCGGTTTCGCTTATCAAATTTTTTTAAAAAATATATATATAAACGACGTGTCATTTTTCCTTAAACTACAACAAACCTTTAGACAACAAATGACAAATCATAGTATATAAAAGCAATAAATATAATAGTTTCCAGGGAATTTAAAGCAATACAAATTATGAAATCTATTGTAATCTACTTTGTGCCCACCAAATGCAAAAATAATAGATCGACACAAATGTGAGCGAAATAACGCTAAATAAAATATATAATTCCCATATTCAGACCCCAAAACATAAGAAATAAAAAAATTAAAAACCATATAAAAATTATAGAACAAGCAAGCAACTTGGAAGAGAGAGAGAGAGAGAGAAGGAAGTTGTGCTTGTTGTGGGGGTTTGACTTGCGAAATTGGAAGATCTGTTTTGCTGCTCCTTTTATTCGTCCTCTTGTCTGGAACCAGAAAAAGACGCCCCATCGTCCTAATTCCCAAACACCCAACAACACTTTTTCTCTTCAGCACACGCCTCACAAATTCACTGTCTCTTTCCTTCTTTCTCTTTCTTTCTCTAGCTCACGAATCTTATCAATCAACAAACACAGATTCAATCTCAGTAAGTCCACGCTTTTTTCTCCCACCTCCTTTCTATTTCTATCAATACATAGATATACATTTCATGTGCTGTAGATCACTAGCCTTTTTCTCTATCTCTCTAAAATTCTAGCAGTCTTATTCTCAATCACGTTTTACCCAGATCAATTCTTTGACTTTCAAGTCTGTCTTGAACAAACCCAGATCATTATTTCCTTTATTTTTTTTTTCTAATCATGGTTGTTAATTATATTTCTCTTCTTTATAGCAATTACTGGGTCTGGATTTCTAAATTCATGGATATATTAAAGCATGCCGGTTTCAGTGATTGAATTGATTTGTTGATGTGTTTTTGAAGCTCACTATTTGCAAATCAAACATAACATATTTATTTGAATTGGTGTTTTTTTTTATTTTTTTGGTAGTGATTAGTCTGAGAGATGAGGCTTAGATTGAAGAAATGGGTTGTGTGTTTGGGCGAGAGATATCATCATCATCAGGGACAGTCTCGGAGTCTAAGAGGAGGGATATAAGTGTAGAATCCACCACAAGAAAAGTAGATGAGGATTCAGTAGAGAAAGTCGAGAATAACAATGGTGTTGAGATTCTTGATGGTGGGACCCAGGCCCAGAAGGAGAAAAAGGGCGATGGGGTGCAGACTCAGAGGCCTCCAAAAGGAGAAAGAAGGAGGTCCAAGCCTAATCAAAGGCTGAGTAATGTGCCGAAGCATTCACGGGGTGAGCAGGCAGCTGCTGGTTGGCCCGCCTGGCTCACGGACACTTGTGGCGAGGCTCTCAGCGGGTGGATTCCGCGGAGGGCGGACACCTTCGAGAAGATTGATAAGGTGATTTTCCTTTTGTTTGCTTCTCTTTGTTGGAAAATGTATGTTTTATTGGTTTTTGTTGAATGATGTGGCAACAATGTTAATGGTTGTGGAATTGATCTCTTCAGTCAAAATGGTATGTTATATTGGTTTTGTTGAACGACATTCTATGATTGTGAAATTGATTCTGGGATGATGGTATATTCTTATGAACTGAAGAGGAAACGTGAGAAAGTCTATGTTATTTGAGATGCTTTTTTTTTCCCCCATGGTTTCTTTTTTTTCCTTAGTCCCAATACCTGTCATGAATTATGTGACAAGAACAGCAAGGCAACTCTGTCAATCTCAATGTTATGTCAGATAAGTATAATAAATATAATGGGCCGCGTAAATTAGAGGTGGAGGTTTCATGATGTATTTTAATATATGGATTTTCATTCATCCATAAATTTGATCCTTTTTTTATTTTCTTTCCTTTTAACTTTGTTTTTGTGTCTTCATGTATGTTAGATTGGATCAGGTACATACAGTAATGTTTACAAGGCTAAAGATATGTTGACGGGTAAAATTGTTGCTCTAAAGAAGGTTAGATTTGACAATTTGGAGCCCGAGAGTGTAAAATTTATGGCGAGAGAAATTCTGCTTTTGCGGAGACTGAATCATCCCAATGTTGTAAAGTTGGAGGGTTTGGTTACCTCGAGGATGTCATGTAGTTTGTATCTGGTGTTCGAGTACATGGAACATGATTTAGCTGGACTTGCCGCAAGCCCGGAAATTAAATTCACAGAGGCTCAGGTTAGCCTGACATTGTCTTCAAACATCAAGTACTAGTCACAATTGCTAGATGCATTGTTAGTTAACAGCAATTATACTGATCTTCTACTTATTTCACGTTTTCCACGATTTAGGTCAAATGTTATATGCATCAACTACTATCTGGTCTTGAACACTGTCACAATCGCCATGTGCTTCACCGCGACATTAAAGGATCGAATCTTCTTATTGATAATGAAGGAGTACTTAGGATTGCTGACTTTGGATTGGCTTCTTTCTTTGATCCGAACCACAAGCATCCCATGACTAGTCGAGTAGTGACTTTATGGTATCGACCTCCAGAGCTTCTTCTTGGGGCTACTGATTATGGTGTGGGTGTGGACCTGTGGAGTGCGGGTTGCATTTTGGCAGAGTTGCTGGCTGGGAAACCCATAATGCCTGGTCGTACAGAGGTACCAACTTAACTATCTTGCTTTGATTAAAAAAGATTCGTAGGTTTATCCCTTTGTCTTGCGGTTGCAATATGACAAGTCAAATTAAATAATTCAAACCTTTGGTAGTCTAGTAAAATATGGTTATACAAAATTTGAACGTTTATAATGCTAAGAAATAGAAGTAGGGAGAAGGGAATGCAACTGGCTTATGAAATGGTATGCATAAAGTGCACATAATGTTATAATTATAAATATGAAACTCTGGAGTTGCTTATATTCCTAAGCTCATATCGGTGAAAACAGAATACATGTTCATAAGAATTAAAAATAATAATAATAATAATAAATAAATAAAAAGATGAAGACTACATGGATGACTCTTGGGAAATTTTACCATGAAATTTTGCCTTGGAAATCAGTGGGAAGGAAGTCCACAATGAATTTCAATACTCGTGGGAACTTTAAAATCTCGATCTTGATAGATGTTTAGTATTGAGAATTACATTCTTTGAAATGGTCTTCCATGGAGTTAAAGTTGCACCAATCCAGTAAAAGAATCCAACAATCCATTTTTTATATATATACCTGCTGTGACTTGTGGACTGTGGAGTTTGTTTTCCCTCCTTAGTCATTATATTTCTCTTGCTGGTTCATTTTCATGACACTTTAATATTCAACATTTGGTTTGTCAAATGAGTGGAAGAGGTTTTGGACTAAAATGTTTTCTCTTTCATCTCCTTCTTATTCATTTGTAAGTTTGAGAATTTGTTCATAGCATTTTGAAGAAGACCTAGAATTCCTTGTTCTGTGCTGTCCATCATAAATTGTCCAACTGTTTATTATTCAAGCATTTATTGTTGCTTTTTTGGTTCCTTAGGTGGAGCAACTACATAAAATATACAAACTATGTGGTTCACCCTCTGATGAATACTGGAAAAAGGCAAAGCTGCCTAATGCAACCTTATTTAAGCCCCGAGAGCCATACAGAAGATGCATAAAAGAAACATTTAAAGATTTCCCGCCATCTTCACTCCCCCTTATTGAAACTCTTCTTGCAATTGATCCAGCAGAACGTAAGACAGCTACAGATGCTTTAAGAAGTGAGGTGAGTTCTGGCACTTGATGACCAAATTGTTTCAGTCTATATGTTTCCAGATACATTCTATTTTATCACCTTCAAATAAATTTGATGCCTTGCACATGAAAATTAATGTACGAGAATCATCTTGAGTTCACCGGTAAATTTCTGACTTGTCATGATAATCACTTCAGGAAAAAGTTGTAACGAGTGCTAGCATAACTTTGAAATGATACCAATTGAAGTTGAAGTTTTAGAGTCACTGTTCCTGGTGGCTCATTATTATTTGTCATGAGTGTTAGCTATAGTAGTCTGCTCCCCGACTCCATCACCGTATTCAAAATCATTTAGTAGCCGTAGCTCTTAGATTGAGGTCCATGATTGTATTGGTGATTGTCATGCAAAGTAGATGATTTACCAACTTAGTAGTTGAGTGCATACACCACTGATACCTTCTTTTCAGAGATTACAAATGTTGAAATTTCGTTTTGGAGAACATGAAAATATTCTTTGTTTTGTTCCTTCTTTCCGCATTTGCAGTTCTTCACAACAGAGCCTTATGCTTGTGAACCTTCTAGCCTTCCAAAGTATCCACCAACGAAGGAAATAGATGCTAAACGTAGGGATGACGAAGCTAGAAGGTATTAGTAATTGGAACTTTGCCTTTATATCCTTTTCTGGTTTTTAATAAATTCATTCACACTGTTTATTGCGCAAGGTTCAACTAGTTTAATTTTCCACTAAAAGGAGTTTTCTCATAAATAACATATCATCTATATCAAACATCATCTGCGTGGTCATGCAGACTAAGAGCTGCTAGTAAAGCCCAGGCTGAAAACACAAAGAAATCACGATCACGTGATCGTGCTGTCAGAGCTGTCCCCGCCCCAGAGGCCAATGCCGAGCTTCAAGCTAATATTGATGTATGTGATAATGTTGCTTCTCTGGGTCACCATAATCCTATAATTTTGGTACTTTCATTAACACAACACCAGTGAAAAATGATGAGTAACGTTTTCCTCTTAAACAGAGGCGGCGTCTGATTACGCATGCAAACGCAAAGAGCAAAAGCGAAAAGTTTCCTCCACCACACCAGGATGGGGCAGTTGGCTTTCCTTTGGGATCTTCACATCACATTGATCCCACCATTGTTCCTTCTGATGTCCCTTACAGTTCCTCGTTCACTTACTCGAAAGGACCAGTTCAAACTTGGTCAGGTCCATTGGTAGACTCGACTGGGGTTGGCGCACCAAGACGGAAGAAGCATACTGCAGGTCAATCTGGGGCTCACAAAGATAAACATGACGATGCTCGGGTTAAAGGAAAGAGGGCCGTGGCTTAGACTCATACCTTGCAGACGTTGAGAATCTCATTTTTGGTCTTTTGGATGCCTCTGCTGAGTTTACTGTGGGGAGTTAATTGGTACTTGTTGCTAGTTGCAATGAGTCAAATCATCACAGCTTCTCACAGGAGAGCCCGAGAGTGTAATCTTTTCGCCAAAAAGTGTAGGGTCAAAAACAATTTTTCTATTTTTACCCCTTTTTTTGTCTTTCATAGTTCCTTCTTTTTTACCTCTCTCCCTCATCTCAAAGAAAATTCTTTTTTTGCTCAATTTGTTGGATGTTGAGACTGTGCCTCTAATATGTATATCTTGATTCTTTGGGGATTGTGGTATTGAAAACTATAACACTTCTCTGAAAATAGTGAAGGTATTTTATATGTGTTGGAGAAGCTCCTTCATGCTTCCTTTATTTTGTTTAAATCTGCTTTCGTTGGCTTTTAAGCCAATTGCCAAATATGGCAGAATATTGGTTTTTTTTTTCCTTGACAACTTTGCTTTTTTGGTACAATTGGGAAAATTAAAGAGGTTAGGATTGATTCTTTTTTTGGATTTGGAAACAATGTAATAGATTGATTTTTTTTTTTTTTTGAAAATGTACTGGTTGGTTTATTCGCGCTGAATTTGTCTTATTCATCCTTTTTGTCAATTTTATTGTCGTTTTATGCTGTTTTGTGGTTGTAATATTTCGCATACGACAATAACTATCTTCTCCTTGGCAAGATTAGCAAGGCCTTAAACTTGTATTTTGAAAAAATGAAAATCCGAATGCAAGTTGAACCAAGCTCTTGATTTTGGTCATGAATCTTACAAACTATTTACTAAAAAGTTGATAGAATAGTAATTGGATAAATCTTCATTTACATGTGAAAAAGCAATAATAATTTTTTTAAAAAAAGGTATTATCCAAAATAAGAATTTTTACGAAGGCTTAACAAAAACAACGAGCTATTTTTTAAATCAAAGATGCCACGTGTATCAACAGACGAGTGCCGAACATAATTAACTTTTGTATGGAACATAATTATTGGATGGCAATAAATATAATAATATTATTCCCCTCAAAACATGAAGTGGAAAAAATAATATTTTAGTGAACATTACGCGCAAAAAGAGCAAACTACTTCCCTTGAAGGGCAAGGCATAAGAAAAAATAAATCTTTTATTTATCTAAGAAATTTTAACACAATTATTAGGAAATATTTTTTTTCCTTATTATTAGGCTCTCTGTTATTTATTGGAAATAAAAATACAAAAAAGAACAAAAAAAAAAGATGATGGTAGTGAATTGAATAAGAATAGACAAGTTTGGAGGGTAAGCTTGCAAAAACTCAGACTTGAACCCCAAACATAAGCAACGGAGAACTACTTTTGTACTCTCACTTTGTCTGTCTCAATTCTCTCTCAAAATCTTTCTTCGTCTCCGACTCTACTTTTTAATTACTCTCTTTCTCTCTCTCTCTCTCTCTCTCTCTCTCTCTCTCTCTCTTGTTCCAGAAACGATATCTAGAAGAAACCCTAGATTGAGTAACAATGGAAGAGAGCGCCAACGACGCCACCAACAATGCCGCCCGAGCCATTGCCGTAGCCCTCGACTGGACCTCTACTCCCGACGCTCGAAAAGCCGCCGTCTCTTACCTTGAATCCGTACTCTCTCTCTTTCTCTCTCTCTAATAGTTTTCTCTCACTGTATAAACTTCATTGCTCTGTGGATTGTTTATTCTTGAAAAAGTTGAAAATTGAGTGAAGTTTTTATTGGCTCTGCTGCGTTTTGTTTAGTTTAGTTGAGTTTCGTGATTCGTGTATCGGTGATTCTACTCCTTGCTTTTCAGTTAAAATTGACGGTTACTGGTACAATGAATATGCGTTGGGTTGTCTGGTGTTCTGATCGTTTTTTGGGTTATGGTTGTGAATGTTTTGGTTTATTATTCGCTTCCAAAATGCATAGTGCTTAGAAAAAATCTTACGAAAAGCTCTTTTTTTTTTTTTTTTAAATGGTGAACTTGGAAATCAACTTTTCTTTTCACTAGAGGGTTTGGTTCGTAGAAATTGGCAACAGTAGAAAGATTTCTTATTTAATTATTTTTCAGGAGGAACTATAACAAAGTCAGGAATGAGCTTATTATTGCTCTAATTCGGTTAAGAAATGACTACGATGGGTTTTTTGACACACTTTTTTTTTCCCCCATGCCATCGTCTTCTCTGTTGGAAAATTTTATGATGAACTGAATTCATAACATTTACCTTCAGCAAGAATTTATGGATGAGGCTTGTGATTTCTCTTGTTAAATGTAGTACTCTAGATTGACATGTATACTCTACAAGCCTGTTCAATTGTAAGATTATGGTCTCATTTTGCAATCTGGATTATAATTTGAATTTTACTTGGCTGTTTCTAGTTTGTATTGTTTTTGTTAACTGGTGTTTAATTTCTTGTAGATAAAAGGAGGAGATGTGAGATTTTTGGCCAACACATCATTCCTATTAGTGAAAAAGGACTGGTCTTCAGAAATTCGCTTGCATGCATTCAAAATGTTGCAGGTATGTGCCTGGATAAAGTAAAAAGGGAAACCTTTATGTGCGGACAACAAGAAAGAATTTCTAGAAGGAATTTAGAATAAGCTGTACTAAGAAAAATGAAAATTACTGTCACTGTGTCATTTGCCTAGGGAAAAAGCCGCTAAAACCTAGACCTAATCAATGTCAATGTGATAAATCAACCCAAGTAGTCAAATACTATGGTTTCCCTTTTCAAACCCACAATGATCATTAGCTTCTAGCTCTGTAAACGTTTGAAATCTTCTTTATTTGGAGTTCATGAATGCAACATATGTGTCTTTCTGCAGCATTTGGTTCGGCTACGGTGGGAGGAACTAAGCTCTGAAGAACATAGGAATTTCGCAAATGTTGCTCTTGAGTTGATGTCAGATATGGCAAATCCTTGTGAGGAATGGGCTTTAAAGAGTCAGACGGCAGCCCTTGTTGCTGAGGTTTGCATAACTCCTGTTAAAATTTTGTTTCATCCCGTCAGTTCTCATGTTTACCTTGGAATGCGCTGTTTCTTGTGTTACAGATAGTCAGAAGAGAAGTGCTCCTATGGCAAGAACTGTTTCCTTCTCTAGTGCCCATCTCCAGCCAGGGTCCTATTCAAGTACTTCTCTTTTCTTATTTGCAAGTTGCAACAATTAGTTCATCTAATATGTCGATGCGATGATTACATTGTGTTTTTCCTTTTTGAACTAGGCTGAGTTGGTGTCAATGATGCTGAGGTGGCTTCCTGAAGATATTACTGTCCATAATGAAGATTTGGAAGGTTTATCATGAAACGCCGTGCTGTACTTTTTTTCCCCCCTTTGTGTCCATGTCTTTTACAGAGAATAGGGCTAGATGCCTATTTTTGAGTATATGATGCTTTCTCATCTGGATTCAAATGATGTATGCCTCTGAGTCTAATTGATGTTTGACACAGGTGATAGACGAAGACTACTGCTACGTGGGCTTACTCTATCTTTGCCTGAAATTTTGCCTCTATTATACACGGTATGCCTCAATCGCTACTTTTTTTATTTGGTGGAAGTGTTAGTCTGTGCTCTGTTTTAACGTTTGATTTGTCCTGCAGTTACTAGAAAGGCATTTTGGAGCTGCACTAAATGAAGCAGGCAAACAACAATTGGACATCGCAAAACAACATGCAGCCACAGTTACAGCCACGTTGAATGCTATTAACGCGTATGCTGAATGGGCTCCATTACCTGATCTTGCTAAATATGGTATAATTCATGGGTATGACTTCCTTCATTGAAGTTTGTATAGGACATTATTTGACACTGGCACTTTTTTATTTCTCATTCCATCTCTTTTGCTTATGCCCGTGAACAGGTGTGGTTTCTTGCTTTCTTCTCCTGACTTTCGTCTTCATGCTTGTGAATTTTTTAAACTTGTCTCCCCAAGGTCAGCATTTTAGTTTTCTATTTTTCAATGCTATTACCATAAAATATACATCTTTCTTTTCTTTTAAGACTTGGCCGTGCTAATTAAGTTATTTTGAATCAAATTCTTCAGGAAGAGACCTAGCGATGACTCTGCTTCTGAATTTAATTCTGCAATGACCAGTATCTTTCATATGTTAATGAATGTTGCCAAAGAATTCTTGTACAGATCCGCTTCCAATGCCGGGGCTGTTGAGGAAAGTGAGATTGAGTTTGTGGAGTACATCTGTGAGAGTATGGTGTCTTTGGGTTCTTCAAACTTGCAATGTATTTCTGGTGATATCACTGTGCTACCTCTTTATTTAGAGCAGGTAGTAAAAGTACCGATGAGTACCCATCCACCTATACACATTCTAATAGTTCTTTGTTTGCAATGGGAGTAATATGTAGTCTCTCAGACATTATGCATATATCAGCTATTTTTAAAATAAAGAACTTGAGTAATTGAACTATCAGAATATCCATGAAATCATTTAAGAATGCAATATAACTACGTTATTTATTTATTTATTTTGCAGATGCTAGGGTTGTTTCAGCATTTTAAGCTGGCACTTCATTATCAATCTCTGCTCTTCTGGCTGGTATAAAGAAGATTTCTTTTTCTATTCTGACAAGGTGTCAGTAATTGAAGCAATGTCATACCCTGCTATCTTTTCACTCTTCAATGTTCTTGTTCTTGTGTAGGCACTAATGAGAGACTTAATGTCAAAGTCAAAGACTGTTGTGCATTCATCTGGGGAGGGATTAGCTGTTAAAGTGAGCTTTGGTCCTACCCAGGTTGATAATGAAAAGCTAAAGATCTTAAGTCTTGTGAATGATGGTATATGTAGTGCGATTCTGGATACTTCTTTCCAGCGTGTGCTTAAGAAAGAGAAGGTTCCTCGTGGAATGGCACTTTCTTTGGGGTCTTTGGAGTTGTGGAGTGATGATGTTGAGGGCAAGGGTGATTTTGGCCAGTACCGGTCGAAGCTGGTACAAAATTCTTTTTTACATCTTCTTTCACATAGTTTTGGCCTATAAATGTTGATATGGATGGGCGGGGTAGTTTTTCTTGACTTATGGTGATAACTTCAATTTAGACAGAGTTATGAGAATAGAATAATATCTACTCATTTTTCTCCGAGAGGATTATTTTGTTTATCATGAGTTGAGATAAGTTTTTGAATTTCAGTTGAACAAGTCAAGAGAACAACTAACTATCTACTTTAGATCCGGACTTTTACGTTTTTATCCACTAATACATGATCTAAATGCAGTTAGAATTGATCAAGTTTTTTGCTTCCTACAAGCCCCTTATAGCTGGTGCTAAGGTTTGTGAAAGGATCGATGCAATCGTCAAAAGCCTCTTGCTTTCTTCTAATTCTCAGGTTTGTTTACTGATACTTCCATTTTTTGGTTTGCTATCTTTGGAGTTGAGTGATTTGGTTTAATTATTGATTTATTTCAGAAATAATGGTCTTTTTTTTTTTCCTTCCATTCTTCTTTTCCCATTTCAAGGAATTAGCTGTCATGGAAAGCATGCAATTGGCTCTGGAAAATGTTGTAAGCACAATTTTTGATGGGTCAAATGAAGTTGTTGGTGGGAGTTCTGAAGTTCAACTTGCACTGGGAAAAACATTTGAAGGTTTTTACCAGATTATTTTTTTATAGTTTTTTTGTTTTCACTGTGGACTCCGAAAGCAATTGCTGGTTACTTTTCTTGAAGGGTTGCTCCAGCAGCTTCTTTCTTTGAAGTGGACTGAGCCAGCTTTTGTGGAAGTACTTGGACATTATTTGGAAGCATTGGGTCCCTTTTTGAAGTATTTCCCAGATGCAGTTGGGAGTGTTATCAATAAATTGTTCGAACTTCTAACCTCACTTCCTTTTATTGTTAAGGTGACTCTTGATTCAGTTTATTTTCACTCTAATTTTTCACAACATATTGAAAAACCTAACTACTAGGCATGTTGTTTAAATATGTTATTGCTCGTTAGGATCCTTCTACAAATAGTGCTCGTCATGCAAGGTTGCAAATTTGTACGTCATTTATTCGTATTGCCAAAGCTGCTGACAAAAGTGTTCTGCCTCACATGAAGGTGATTACTTTTCTGTACGATTTTCTCCTGGTTTGTGAGAGGAGCCGAATTTGTATCTTTTTAAAGTTTCTCCAACTAAATACGAGAGATATTAATTTCTTTATTCAATTTCTCATGTGGTTTGTTACATAGGGCATAGCAGATACCATGGCATATTTACAAAGAGAAGGTTGTTTGCTTCGGGGTGAACACAATCTTCTAGGTGAAGCATTTCTTGTCATGGCTTCATCGGCAGGGTAAAAATTTGCTTTCTAGGTTTACCTTATATTTTGATTCTCATGCAACCAACTTACTTTTTGAACTGTCTACCCATGATACAGGGTTCAACAACAACAAGAAGTTTTGGCCTGGTTATTGGAACCTTTGAGCCAACAATGGATGCAGCAGGAGTGGCAAAACAACTATTTGTCTGAACCGTTAGGTCTAGTTCAGCTGTGCTTTGAGACACCAACTATGTGGTCAATTTTCCATACAGTTACCTTTTTTGAGAAGGCACTTAAGAGAAGTGGAACAAGAAAACCCCAGGCAAACTTGCAGAACAGCTCAAGAGCAACTTCCACTCACTTGCATCCAATGGCTTCTCATCTATCATGGATGCTGCCTCCTCTGCTAAAAGTACGCATGTTCATTCACTAATTAATCGTGCTAAGTTTCCTACTTTATATCTCTTCTTAAACATGGTACATTTAGGGTCGTATTAATGTTCTCATGCAATTTTTAAATGCAGCTGCTCCGTGCAATACACTCCCTTTGGTCTCCATCTATATCTCAGAACCTACCTGTAGAAGTAAAAGCTGCCATGATGATGAGCGATGTTGAGAGATACAGTCTTCTCGGGGAAGGAAACCCTAAATTGTCAAAGGCTGCATTAACTTTCACTGATGGATCCCAGATAAGCATGAGTAAGGAAGGGATTACAGAGCCAAATGAAACTAATATAAGAAATTGGTTGAAAGGAATCAGAGACAGTGGGTATGTCTGCAAAGGCTGTACTTTGTTGTTTCAGACATATTTTACTTCTTTCTTTTTCATGAATTCATAGAAGCTTGGAAAATACTAGAAGACTAGAGAATGGAAAAAGGGAAAATGATCTTGCTGAAAATAGAATTGAGGGACAGGCACAGTTATTTTTTAGCAATGACGGATAAAAAAATAAATAAATTAAATTAAAAGCCTTTTGGAGAGAAATTGTTTTAACAGAAACCATACTTCCTCCTGTGAAAATTTTAGAAGCTTTGCAAATGTTAATTTCAAGGCACAAATTTTTCAATGGTGAATTGTGATTTTAGGTACAATGTACTGGGCTTATCAACTACTATTGGCGATTCGTTTTTCAAATGTCTGGATATACATTCAATTGCTTTAGCCCTGGTGGAGAACATACAATCAATGGAGTTCAGGCATTTAAGGCAGCTTATTCACTCAGTTTTTATTCCTTTAGTTAAAAATTGCCCTCAAGAAGTGTGGGATATATGGCTGGAAAAGCTTTTGCACCCGTTATTTTTACACTCTCAGCAAGCTCTTAGCTGCTCCTGGTCTGGTCTTCTACATGAAGGCAGAGCGAAGGTTCCAGATGCCCATGGCATATTTGCTGGGTCTGACTTGAAAGTGGAAGTAATAGAGGAAAAGCTACTTAGAGATCTAACTAGGGAGGTTTGTGCACTTCTCGCTGTTATAGCTTCACCGCAGCTGAATACCGGCCTTCCTTCCTTGGAGCATTCTGGACATGTCACTCGTGTTGACTTATCTGCACTCAAAGACTTGGATGCATTTGCATCTGGCTCAATGGTTGGGTATGTGTAGCGTGCAATGCTTCTTGGTTACATCTCCGAATTTGATTATATTTGTTTATCAATATATTTCGTTTTCCTGAAATGTGCTCTGTTGGCAGTTTCCTTTTGAAGCACAAAGGTCTGGCCCTTCCAGCCTTGCAGATTTGTCTAGAAGCTTTTGCATGGACAGATGGTGAAGCTGTGACCAAAGTTTCTTCTTTTTGTGCTGCTCTAGTTGTTTTAGCTGTAGTTACAAATAATGTGGAGCTCCGGGAATTTGTTGCGAAGGATCTGTTTTCTGCAATTATCCATGGTTTAGCGCTCGAGTCAAATGCAGTTATCAGTGCTGATCTTGTTGGTCTTTCTCGTGAAATATTCATCCATCTTTGCGAAAGAGATCCAGCTCCGAGACAGGTGCATTGTCATCCTTCATTCTTCTCAATATCTTTGCTTATGATTAGTGGATTCTACATTCAAGGACCGCGTAAACATTGTTGATCTAAGTATTTGCTTCTCTTGTTTTCCCAGGTTTTGCTTTCACTCCCTTCTATCACGCATAATGATTTACGTGCTTTTGAAGAGGCTTTGACGAAGACATCCAGTAGCAAAGAACAAAAACAACATATGAAAAGCTTGCTCTTATTAGCTACGGGGAACAAGTTAAGAGCACTTGCTGCTCAAAAGAGCGTAAATGTCATAACAAACGTTACTGGTCAGCGCTTTGATTTCGTCGTCATCTCGCATTCCTATTCTTTTCCTGAATTTTTGTGCTGTTGAGTTGTTCCACTCTTGTAATATCTAATGAACTAGCCTGTTTGGACTTCTACTTTCAGCAAGGCCGCGCGGAACAGTCAATGCTCCGGCTGAAACCAGGGCAGACGATGGGGAGACTGTTGGACTGGCGGCCATATTGTGATGGATTTGTTCTGATTTGTTGTACAGAAAATGAGGTTAACCTAGTGAAGAAAAACCCTGTTTGTGGGTAACATACATAGATAGTTGAGGCGCATTATTTTTTGGCGTTTAGGCGTGCTGACGCTATAAAGGAATAAAACCATGGATGCCGAGCTTGTCCTCTTGATATTTGTTTTTGTATAAAGAATATTTTATATGAATATTGATTTACTGTCATGTTTGAAACTTTTTTCCTCGTAAATTACAAAATTTCCTCTCAACCATAGCCCTTGTGGTAATGTGCCCTCAATTTTTATAAACGTATCATTCGTTTGCCTAATTTATGAAACATAGACGGAAAAAAACTCCTCTTTAAGATTTTTAGTAGAAATTTAACTTGTTAAGGACCTTAAGAATATTGATTTACAAGCTACATCTTAAAACTTTTAACCAATTTCCTTAGCGAGGTTAACTTCTTAATACATTTCCAAATTACGGATATGGTGATTTTTCCTTTTTAAGAAGCATCAACTGAAAAAGATCAACGAGTACTTTCTTCTCTTCAGAAAGAAGGGAAAACGCTCCAAATATGAATCAATGCCCTGTTTTAAGTACGCTACAATCAAACAAGTAACACAATATAGTGATAAGTGATGTGTGATGCTATTATGTCGTAAAGTTTCAAAACATGACGTGTTTTATTTTCAAATTAAACATGACATGCTTGTTGTTTGGAAATTTTTGTTTTTTATTTTCCATTTCCTAAATGCATGGATTTAAACGAAAATAATAAAACTCAAGAACGACAGCCGATCTGAACAACAAGAATAAACATCTAAAAAAGTTGAACCTAAAAAAAAAAAAGAGAACAACAACAAGTCAACAACTAAAGAATAACAACCGAGAAAAGGACCAAAAAAAAACCAGAAATAGTAGGAAATAGGCCAATATGAAAAGCTTAAGAAAGTATATATGCTAATTTTTAGTTATAGAAATTAATAGACCATAACTTGTCAAGTTATGATTCATAATCAGATAAGTTATGGACAAACTTGTCAAGTTATGGTTCATAGTCAGACAAATTATGGACAAAAACCATGAATTATGGACAATAACTTATCAAGTTATGGTTCATAATCAGACAAGTTATTGACGAAAACAGTAATTTGGCCTATTTATTAACTTATGTAAACTATTGGCCTATTAATTTTAATTCATCTCAAGTCTTGGCCTATTTTTTTCTTTCTTCCAAAAAAAACAGGAATGAGGGTTTGACACATAAGAACGACAACGAATAAGAAAACGTCACCACAACAAAAAATGACACTATTAAAAGACTAGAAAATGAGAACGGCGTCAAATAAAAAAGATCCAGAGGAATAAGGACATTAAAAATATGTCGAGTATTACAATTTGAAAATCGATATAGATTAGAGATAAATGACAAGAATGAGGAAATGAACTCCACAGAGAAAACGACAACAGATAATTAAACTCCAGAGGAATAAGGACATTAAAAATATGTCGAGTATTACAATTTAAAAATCAATATAGATTAGAAATAAATGATAAGAATGAGGAAATGAACTCTACAGAGAAAACGACAACAAATAATTAAACAACAGCTACATTATAATACGTGACCTACAAAATGGAAGCGACAATGAAAGTAAAGTTAACATATCAAAAAGAGATAATACACATATATATAGAAAGCACAATGAGATTCATGTAGCTTATCTCTTAATTTCCCTAAAGTCATAGTCAAATTATTATTTTTTTTTTAGTGATTTTGTTTTGCCTTTTTTGTTGTATTATTTAGTGATTGTTTTTATTTCTTCTGTTTTATACATTTATTTGCCTTTTCATTTTACTTTTATCCAAAATATTTTAAATTTAAAATTTTTATTCTAATTTTTTCTGAGGGAATAATTTTTTTCATGTATATATCAACTTAATTAATTTTTATAATCCACTAAAATATGTTTGACAAATATGATAAATACATTGTTTTTCTAATCGTTACATTGAAATAATGTTTTCCATGATATACTTTATTGAAACAACTTTTCGCAAACTTGCTCTCGTTCAAGTTTTTTTTTTTTTTTTTTTTCCAAAATAAACCGTTATAAAATATTAATTTTACATAACCGTCTTTTTATTGTAGCTCTCTTAAATATTGTTTTCTTATACCTCCTGATTAGTTTGCTGTTTAACTTGTCTTAAGCAAAACCTATCCTGATTTAATACGGCGTGCTTTTTTATGCTTAAGTAATATATTGTTGAAACACACGTATTTTGGTACATTTATTTTTGTAAAATCATATATTTTTAAACGTGAACGAACTATACACACATGTTTAAACTAGTGAAATAAAGCCATTTTCAATGCAATTACTAATGTCAATTGTATATATAACATCAAAAAAGATGATATGATATTTATTTGTGCTCGAATACATAACGTCATTTGAAATATTAAATATACTTTTTCTCATAATCATTAAGTTTTAAAAGTTATAAAAGTAAATTTTTATTTTTAAAATAATTAAAAAATGTAAAAGTTGCATTGATTACATAAAAATAAAATAAATATTTCAACTAATAACAATTAAATGCTAAATTTTTTATATGCTATACTTAATGAGAAATTTACCACAAAATATAACATATAGAAAATTTAGTACAATAAATAACATTACATTGAAGTATTTTTTACACTCAACTAAATTTATAATTGACACAAATTAAAATATTGTGTTAGAGATGCTCTAAATAAAAGAATAAGGAAGAAATGAAAAATGGCATGAAAACGAAAAGATCATCGAAAGATTGAAACCACAATAAAAGTGAAAAACGACAAATACGAGAAGAAAATCATAAAGGGACAAAATAAGGGTTGTATCCGCCTCCTCCTAATACATAAAACAAAGGACCACGTATTTTCCGAAAACAAAAATAAAGACGTTACAGGCTTTTAGCATGTCCAAGAGCAACTTATTTCCAACGACAATTTAATACGATCCAGAGTAGAACAGTTGTCAATAAATCCTCGTAACGAAATCCATCCATTCCATCTGTGAGATAGGAGGTTAGTCTTAGAAGACATCGCGTTTACAATTCAATTTGAAGAAAAATAAAATTTTATTAAAAATATGAGGCTACAAAAAGGGAAAAAAACTAAGAAAAAAAAAATCGAGATCTTTCGCATCTAAAAAAATCACCGGGAAAAATATGTTGGAACAAGGAAGTTCAATTTTTACAAGTTCCCCAGTATCATTCTTTCAAATGGGGAGCCCCATTAGACAGTATTTTTCCCATCGTAAAATGTGGAGACATACAAAATTTGTACATAAATGAGGCCTGTGAATCAACCACTTTCCTCCTCTTTGTCGTCGTCCTCTTCCGGTGCCTCCCTCAGCCACTAAAAAAGACAAAACAAGTTGCTATGAACTAGAAGAAGAAATGATTGCAGAGAAGATGGGAGACGTATGCCAGTTTCAGGTGAGCAAAAAGCAAAAGGCTGGCTTCAAATAGAGTGAATAATAAACTTACTTGGATGAACTTTTCGGCCTGCTTAACAAAAACTTTGTCCAACTCGTCTGCATCTTTCTTTTCATCATCCCACCTTAAAATAGCATCTTCTTGTAGAACTTCTTGGTCATACAAATGCGACATTATCTGAGATATATAATCAATTATCAGAACATAAATTGAAATCGTGAAAACTAAGCAAGACAGCAAGCATTTTGAAGTAAATTCACACAGAAACACATTTTATAATTAATGAAAAAGTAAATAAATAACTGCTGGGAAAAACCTCGTGGAAAGTATTTTCGTTTATGAAAGATGATGGATGAATAACTACAAAATACTCTCAGTATGACAGTGTCACAGTAGATGTACCTTTGTGAACAATGGAGCGAATTCCTTGGCAGACTCCAGACACATTTCTTCAAATTTAAGTATTACCTCAATCTGTCAAATTTCCCCAAAAGGAAAAACCATTATTAGGCAGTATAATGATGACCGTCAAAACCACCATGGAATTAGTATGATTTTACAGCGATGAATGAGAAACAAGTACAGACCTCCTCATCTATATCTGCCAGGTAATACTTCAGGAGTTTCTTCCATTTTGTAACTACGTTAGTAGCATTTTGAAGCAATTCACCTAAGAAACAGATTATGGAAACATCAAGTTGGTGCAACTACTAACCATAGTGATGCAAGAGAAAGACCCATTGTACAGTGCAAACATAGAAGACCAAGAGTATTATTGTGCAAACAAGAAACGAATGTCGTGCAATAGGAATTCTGAATTTGATCTTTGTACTTTCAAGATTAAATATAAAAATAGGAAAACAGAAAAGAAAAAGAAGAGATGAAAACAGAGAAGGGCAAGCTCAAGAATGCTTACGAGCTGAATTATGTGGAGTTTCTAGAGCCAATTTCATCATTGAATAAAATAAAGCTCCTGCACAGTCTGCAGTTAACCTGTTGTATGACAACCTGCCATGCCGCCAAAAAGGTGATCAACAACTATTATCAAAAGTTAAGGTCAACATGTTATCTCAATAACGATTAGAATACATAATATGACACAATAGAGGGGTAATAAAGCAGAAAATCATATGACACAAATTTCAATCTCTATGAAAGAATTCGCGATTGCAGTGTGGGACAATGCTTTGATTGCCATGGAGTCCCACATGTGTTCTGTCACCTTTGTTTCTATTTTCCTTTTTTTGAATGCTAAAATTTACTTGAGATTCTTGAACAATTTAATCTTGCTTATAAGTACAAGTGACTACGAATGATAAATGATCAAGGTGCCGTGATGCCATACCTGAGTGAATTAACTTCTAAGACTACATGATCTACTGCAATATTTTCATGCACAGCTCTCAGAAATGTCGCTTCAACCTGCAAATAACAAAGAGTTTCCGACGGTTAGTTTGTCTAAATGTGCATTTCATTTTGTTTTACCACAAGCATTCCAGTCGATCATTTCCACCTCTTTTTCAAAGTAAATTGATTCATCCCTAGAGTCTTCAATATCGTCATCTTCTGAATAATTGGAATCACGTTTCAATTCTCCAGAAGGTGGCAGAATACTGCCATCTTGAGTTAACTCGAGATCATCATCTATTGCCTGTATCAACTCAGCAAGTTTATCTGCAGGAATGGGAGCAACAGAATGCCTCAATTCCTCATCATAGCCTCCTTCGCTAAATGGCCAAATATGACCAATGCCTCCAGAACCAAGCTGATCAACAAGAGTAACCACAGAGTTACTCAGTATTGTATGGG